GATGCTTTTGAGAAACTTTTGTTATTCTTTGACTCTGTCTGCCATATTTTCACAAGGGAGAGTGTTTTGGATAACTATGTCCCCCAGCAGTTGTATGCTAAGAAAAGCTGTGCTATCATATAGCTCAAGAGCTATGCTTAGCATCTCCAATGTAAGAGGTACTGAATATGAATTCCAGTACAGTGTTTTCAGTTTGAACCTCAGTTTAACACTTTGCTAACTGCTCTGTTTGTGAAGGGTCACTGTGTCTCTCTCGTTTACTTCCATTTTGAGATAATACATTATTCTAAAGCAGAATAAACAGCAGGCCAATCCCAAGGATGCCAGAGTTCAGGTGCACCCTGTGGGTAGAGGACCGGTAGATAAGAGTCCCGCTACTAGAATCCACCAGCCAGAGGGCTACTCTGCTGAAAGTAAAAAGGGATTCTGTAGAAGCAAATAAACAACTAACACTTCTTTTTATTTTTTATTTATTTATTATTTTAAAAAATATATTTTATTGATTTTTCACAGAGAGGAAGGGAGAGGGATAGACAGCTAGAAACATCGATGAGAGAGATACATCGACCAGCTGCCTCCTGAACACCCCCCACGGGGGATGTGCCCGCAACCAATGTACATGCCCTTGACCGAAATCGAACCTGGAACCTTTCAGTCTGCAGACCGACGCTCTATCCACTGAGCCAAACCGGTTTTGGCTCACACTTCTTTTTTTAAACATGCAATCTATACCACTATAACATGGAAAACTGAAAAAAAAAAAAATGGGTATAACTGCTATTGTTTCAACCTTAGGCAGTGACAGTAATGAAACCATCATACTAATGTCTAGTCCAATAAAACTCTTGGTTTTCTGTATTTTGTGTGGGCAACCAAATCAACTAAATAAAGGAACAAAAAGAAGATGAATAACTTCAGCCTAAACACTGTGTAAATCTACATATTATAGTTTATTTGTAAAACTATTAATAATAACTTAAAAAATGACTTTAAGAAACAAGTTTATTACTTATAGCAAATAAAAGTCGATACTCAAACCTATCATGAGCCTCCTTTTAGGCTGTAAAGCCAAAATGCTGGATGTGTTGTAGAACGAGAAATAGGATATGATGACTGTATACATTTTCAAATAAATATAAAAACATATGTTAAAAATAAAAACGTGGTATGAATAAAAATATTCTTTTATGCTAAAGTTTTGTGTAGAATTATGTGTAGGGATTGCTCTTTCATTGCATTGCCTACTCCCTAAAGAAATTATTCTAGAGTCATTAAGTTTGTTTATTCTTTTTTTAAAATATATAATCCTATTAATACAAAATCAGCCAGGTGCCTCCTGATATAAATTTAGGAGTGGATAGGGCAGTCTGCTGACTCAGCTTCATCAATTTTCCTTACTGTTAAAATTTGATTCAGGCTTGATTTAAGCTTTCACAGCTGCAGCCAATATTTCACTTACACACAAAAATTTAATTATTTGAATAGTTACTTAGAATACTCGCTATGACAAACTTAAAAAATATATTTAGAATCCCCCTAAAATAGTGTAGGATACATTCTGCACTTTTTAATCAACTAATCTTATGATTCATTCTTACTAATCATGATTTTATTGGTTAGAAAGGAAATCAGAATAATAGTCCAAAATATTTTTCAGAATTTATGAGAGAAATCATATATGAACATCAATCCCCTACTCCAAGTACATTGCATCTGGATGCCTTGCATGTCAGCACAAAACTTCACTTTACATGCCTTAGCCTTAATACTGTCCCACTCCTTCCCATTGGAACATGCAAAATGTTTGATCTTAAATCTCAAATACATTAGTGACATATTACAGAACTGACTAGAGGCCCGGTGTATGAGATTCGTGCATGGGGGAGTCCCTCAGCCCAACCTGCACCCTCTCCAATCTGAGACCCCTTGGGGGACATCCCTATCATAATAAGGACCACTGGCTTCTAACCACTCACCTGCCTGCCTGCCTAATGTCCCCCAACTGCCCTCCTCTGCTATCCTAATTGCCCCTAACTGCCTCTCCCTTGGCCCCCACCACCATGGCTTTGTCCGGAAGGAAGTCAGTAGTGGAAAGATGGCCGGTCGACCCAGTCTAATTAGCATATTACCCTTTTATTAGTATAGATTTTTATCAGTAACTCATACTAAATCACTATACCTCTTCTAATGTATAGAAATACAAATTCTGTCCAGGACAGTCCAATAGAAATTTCTGTGATGGAAATGTTCTGTATCCACAGTTCCAATAGAGTAGCCACTAGCCTCCTGTAGCTAATGAGTCCTTCAAACACAGTTAATGGGAATTAGAAACTGTCTTTACTTGTATTTAAATTTAATTAATTTAAAGGTAAACAGTGTCACGTATGGGATTACTACTGGCCTAGTAGCGCTTTCAAAACATTCAGATAAACATTAGAAGTGGAAAGTAGATTTTTGCCAATACATGAATCTTAAATTATCAGCATTATATTTTTAAAACTCTGTCATTGATTTCTTTGGTATGACTTTTTCTAGAAGGTTCACATTTCAAAAAAAGTGGAACACAAAGCAGTCATATTCTTTAGTCTGCTTTTCTGTATGAATTGTCTTTTTTTTTTTTTTTTTTTGCAAAGAGGTGAAAGACTGATTGTATTGCAAACTCTGGCCCCTCTTTTATAGATAGAATTCAGTGATTAGGTTCCTGCATTTATTTAGGTTATTTTCCCTAAAAATCATGGTTTCCATACTGCAAATAAATGACAGGAGCTTTTCCATTAAATTACCCAGACAGCACAAGTGTTCCTTCCAAAAGTGGCGACGAGAGCCACAGCCCCTCACATTACCTGTTATATCTGTTTATACTTAGAGAAGTCACATCTACTTTGCAGACAGAGAATGCTAATTTCTTGGGAAAGCACCCAGAATCTGATGAGACTTGGAAGAAAAAAAATTCACTGTTCAAAATAAAAGATACATAGATTAGCTACAAAGCTCTTTTTAAAATCTTTTCTAAGAGGAAAAGATTTTACTCCCCGAGTGTAGATTTGGCATATTTGCTGGAGTTCCTCATCAGCCATAATCACCAGCTGATGAAGCTGAAGGTAAGTTATAAAACCTGACCTCCGTTTTCCTACCTGAAAAATACATACAGATAACAATTCTGTTGGAAAGACTGTGTAAGACTTGGAAATGGGCAAAAGATGACTGGGTGTCCTTTGGGTGGTATTCGGGATGTTATCTGCAGGAATGTAGGGATTGCGTGGCTTTTCAGTAGGCTGTGCCTTGGACTGCCTTTGAGGAGGCTGTCATCCATAAACTTTAGAAATTTATGGTCATGTAAATAGTTCTTATCTGTAGATAAGGCGAATTCTTTTGTTCCTTAGAAACAGCTGATTACTGCCTGTGGGACAGATAATTCAAAACATTATATATATTTTAGTATCTTAGACCGTATTAACCGGTTTTGCCTTTCCCCGATTGTCCATAAAGGCCTGTTCCTCACATTCCCATTTGAATGTGGTGTTGCAATATTTTTCTCTGGTTCCCTCCCTAGTTAATGAGTCAGATAACATTTTTGACACATCTTGATTTAATATTTCTATGAGTCGTGCTTTTACTTTCTCGAAACATTATCTTTTAAGAACTTCTAGTCCATAAAGTATTTTCAGAAGATTGGTTTAAAGGTCTATACGGGTGGCCATAATCAGTTTTATAGTTTGCAGAAAGGCTCTAACACTTCCACTATTATTTATTATTATTATTATTATTATTATTATTATTATTATTATTGGAGGGTGGTGGGATGATGTAGGAAGGGATACTGAGCATTCATTATAAATGGGTGAAGACCTGAAAAACAAATCTGACAAGTGTCTGGAGACCACCTCCTCCCTTTCCTGAGCAGAGGAGGGTGGAGGCAGAAGGTCAAGGTGGGTGGAATGTAGTGGCCCAGGTGAGCTCAGGGCACCTGGGACCTGGCCCTGGGAGGTGCAGGCCTTCCAGCCGGCCAGTGGCCTTGGGGGTCTAGCTGCCCTGGGGTCACGGAGGTAACTGCAGACTTCCTGGGGCTCCAGCGGCGGGGCAACCCCAGAACCCCGTTCCTGCCACACGCCCAGCCCCGCAGGCCAGGCCCCAGGGGTGCAGGCCGAACCCGGCCCGGCGCCCTCGCCCACCGCCGCCGGGGGTGGGGCGGCCGCGCGGCGGGCCGGGCTCTGCGCCCTCGGTCGCCGCCAGAGGCTCCCTCCCGCTCCCTCTCCGGGGATTTCGCTGCCGGGCTCCCTCTCTCCACAGCCCTCGAGTTAATCCCATCAGCCGAGGTGAGGCACCTGTTACCCCAGGGCTTCCCCACCCCCTCCACCCCCCCGCCCGGGGCACCCCGACTCCCCCGCGGCCCAACGGCCGGCGCGGGCACTGCACGTGGGCGCAGCCCCCCCGGCGGGGGCCGTCCGGGCCCGGGGGGGGGGGGGGAGAGCGCGTCGGGGCGGCCGGGCCGCGGCGTTGGGCAGCGCCGCCGGGGGGTCGCGGGGCGCGCGTGGGGGGCCGGGCGCGAGGGGGAGCGGCCGCCCCCGCCGCCCCCCGCGCGGCGCCGTGCGGAGCGGGTGGAGCGGGCGGCGGCGCGGAGCGGGCGGCGGGCACCGGGGGCGGGGGCGCCGGGAGGAGGAGGCGGAGGAGGCGGAGGGGGGGAGCGGCCGCCCGCCGGACCCTCCCCGCTGCCGGCGGCGGCGGCGGCGGCTCCGCTCGCTCGGGTAAGGGGGAGGCTGCTGGCGGGCGAGGCGTTGGGGCGGGGGGAGCGGCAGGAGCGGGGGAACCCCGGCGCGCACAAAGGCTGACTTGCAGAGGCTGGGGGTGGGGGTGGGGGTGGGCCGGCGCTGCGAGCCCATAGGTTGGCGATCGGAGGCATTTATCGGTGCGATCTATTGTTTCCTGGCACATGGGGAGGAAAAAAAAACCCCACAAAGGGATATAGGATCATTACCCCGTCATTTTTATTTTTTTCCTTTTTTTTTTTTTTTTTTTAAATGTGGGCAGGGAGCTCGGCTCTCCCCGTGCCACCCTGGGATCCGCCTGGCAGCCGCCGGCAGCCGCAGCCGAGGTGCGGGGACTCCAGGTGCTGCGGGGCGCGGAGCCGGCCTGCGCCCTCCCTCCCGCCGTGGCGCTCGGCGGCGTCACCTGCTCTCCCGGCCCTGCCCCGGGGCCCTGGGAATCGGCCAGCCTCTCAAGTTGGTGTTATTTATGTTTGTCTTTGGCGAGGGCAGGTGTTTGAATCCCCCGGCTGGCTGCCCCGGCGCCCCCGCCTCCGCCCCCCTCGGGCTGGAGTAGGCGGGGGAGGGAGGGGGGAGGGGAGGGTGTGTGAGGCTGAAGCCCACGTCCGGGTGTGGAAGGAGACCAGAGGCGATCGATGAAGCCTTACTCCCCAAGCCAGGCGCCACACTCCTAAAATGAGCCTTTCTGGTGTGTCTGCATGGGCCATGCATGCATGCGTGCTGGGCCAGGAGACGGTTTAAGTGAAAGTGTGTGTGTGCTGCCTCAGCTGATGGTGCTTGAGGCTGGGCCGGCCTCCTATTAAAATCCTTAACCAAAACCAAATGCAAAAAAAAATAAAAAAAATAAAAAAAATAAATAAAAATCTTCAGAACGACGTGGTATGCCCCTCAGAAGATCTTGGGAGTATTTATGACTGTCCTAGTGCTATGAAATCCAGCTGTGGGCTCCAAGGAGACCAGCAAGCCTGCATGGAGGTTGCCTTTTGAGCTTGTAGTAAAGTTAGAGGCAAGTAGGAATAAACAAATCAGGGCTGTTAAATAGAGGTTTCATGGTACATTTGCTTTCTGATCATCACATTCTCATGCTTTTATTCCCATGACATTCTACATCCCTTTCCGTAATTAATGATATCCACTCTGAGGAAACTTCCAAATATTTGCCTGCACTGGACGGAGAGGGAAACTTAACTGCCATTTAAGAACTTTGTTCTGCTCGGTTGGTCTGATATGGCGCGGGTGTTGCTTTGGGGATGTTGTCAGTGAGAACCCTGGGCCAGAAAGAGGGGAGTAACCCTCCATAGGCATGCTTTGGAGTTTGTAAACATAGTTTCCAAACTTTTAATGGTTTTTAAACAGAAAGAATAACTTTTATCTGGTGTGAAGAGTCCCAAGTGAAGTTCATTTTTTTTCTGGGCAGTTTGATGATTTCTTAAAGAGGTACAAACTGCTGATTTCTTTGAAGGCGATTCACAAAAGCAATCAAAACTTGGGCTCAAGTGTTGCTTTTTCAAGAGTGCTTGTGTGGCTCGTATGTGTGCACGTTGTGATTATGGTAGCCGCTCTCTCCACATTGTGTTTGAAACATTTTGTTACCAGGGACCAGAGTTAGAACTTTTAAAGCCTTGGCTTTTTAAAGTCCAGCTTCAATAAGTAATTTCCTCTGTTTGAAGCCACTTTGAGAGGAAAAGTGTATGTTAAGTTTTTGAGTAAAAATAAATTCAAATAAGTAAATGAATTCAGAAATTCATTCTTTTCTGTTACAGATGAACCTCTAGGCTTGCTTTGAAAAAGCCGTTTTGTGTAACTCTTTGACTGAATAATTTCCTAATACACCTGTTGCGTGGATCACTGACACAGTATGCTCTTTGAGAGGTACTTTTCCTTGACCACATACTGGTGATTAGAGAAGAGAGGCATTTTATTTTCATCCCCTGATCATTATGAACACTGGCTTTTCACCCTGAAATAAAAATGTTGAAAACCGAGTCTTCAGGCGAGCGAACCACTCTCAGAAGTGCCTCTCCTCACAGGAATGCGTATAGGACTGAGTTCCAGGCACTGAAAAGTACCTTTGACAAACCCAAGTCCGATGGGGAACAAAAAGCAAAAGAAGGTGAGGGCTCCCAGCAGAGCAGGGGGAGGAAGTATGGCTCCAATGTCAACAGAATTAAAAACCTATTCATGCAGATGGGTATGGAGCCCAATGAGAACGCCGCAGTCGTTGCCAAAACAAGGGGCAAAGGTGGGCCTTCGTCCCCTCAGAGAAGAATGAGGCCCAAAGAATTCCTGGAGAAAACAGATGGCTCCGTTGTGAAGCTGGAGTCCTCTGTTTCAGAGCGAATTAGTAGGTTTGACACAATGCACGATGGCCCCTCGTATTCTAAGTTCACAGAGACTCGCAAGTTGTTTGAGAGAAGTGTGCACGACTCGGGGCAAAACAACCGTTACTCCCCAAAGAAAGAGAAGGCTGGGGGGAACGAGCCTCAGGATGAATGGGGGGGCTCGAAGTCCAACAGAGGCAGTACCGACTCCCTGGACAGCCTCAGCTCCCGGACAGAGGCTGTCTCCCCAACTGTGAGCCAGCTGAGTGCAGTGTTTGAGAACACCGATTCCCCCCATTCCATCCTTTCTGAGAAGGCTGAGCATGAATACTCAGTGACTGGGCATTATCCCCTGAATTTGCCAGCTGTGACAGTCACAAATCTTGACACCTTCAGTCGTCTTAAGGAGTCTGATTCTTGCACGCCCCCGCGCAAACACGGTGACGAGGATGCGGAGGATGCTCAGAAGAGTCACGCGTCCCCCGTGCCACAAGTGGTTTCGAAAAGTACCTCTCTAGCTTTGACACCTAGCGAACAGGCAGAGCAGAGCAAGGAAGCCGAGGACTCCACACCTAACCAAGAGACTCCCGGCGGGGTTGACGGAGACGTCCCCGGAGAACCTTGTGCTGAGAATAAGGCAGTGCCAGGGTCTGACATCCTCTCCCCCCAGGGTGAGCCTTTGGGAGGTGCCAAAGCCAATTTGGTTGGGAACGAGGCAGCGATGATGCTACGGAGGAAGGAGCTTGCAGGTGGTGATTTTATCTCTGCTGATGCTTCTGGACCCAGCTATGGGAAGGAAGTACCTGAAGATTCAAGTCATATTGAGAGCCCCCACGTTTACATGCACAGTGACTATAATGTATATAGGGTGAGATCCAGGTATCATTCCGACTGGCGAGAGACAGGCACTGAGCAGGACGAGCAGGAGGACAGTGATGAAAACAATTACTATCAACCTGACATGGAGTACTCGGAAATCGTCGGACTGCCAGAAGAAGAAGAGATCCCCACAAATAGGAAAATTAAGTTTAGTAGTGCTCCAATTAAGGTGAGTATGTTTTCTCAGTTTGTTTTGCAAGGTTTTTTTTTTTTTTTCTTTTTTCTTTTTTTTTTCTCCCTCCTAAGTTTTCTTCGTAGTATTTGGGCCTAACTATGCAGAACAGATTTTTGACAACTGGAAGGAATTCAAGGTTGTTGATGTACATATGTTGTGGGTGATTTTAAAAGTATGGGAGATTATCCATCATCGTTCCTGATGTGCTTTTAGAGTTGCCTGAGCCAGTATGGAGTACTATTAAAGTTGGAGAAGTCTGGGGATTCTGAGATACTTTCCAGTGGACCAGAGTGTGAATATGATAGGATGGGCACTGAAAACCAGGGGTGTTAGTCTGAAATAGAGTGACTTCTATAACTATTTTTACCTACTGTTACCCATAAATAATAACATTTTCTGAATCTAAACACTAGGATATCAAATATAACACACAAAAGGGAGCCTTATGGTAAGCTTGAAATAATACTCTTTATTTCCTAGCTTTAAAAAAAAAAAAAAATCTGAGTTATCCCTCCCTTAAAGGTAAGTAGATTGTGAGGAATGTTGGATTTTTTTTTTTTTTGTATTGCTACTCGGTAGTGAAAGTTTGATTCATGGCGCTATATTAGCGGGCTTAACAACTTTAATTGGAAAGCTATTACTGTAAATAGCTTTGCGTTCAGAATTTGATCTGTAGCTTTAAAATGAAACTTTGTGAAAGGAAGTTAAGTTGATTTGCCATTCATGGGTTTATTTTTACCTCCTGAAAACTGGATAAATGCCAGCTGACTTAGGATGCTCTGTTCTAATGGCTTCACTTAGTTCGCATTTAGTATGGAGGAATAGCGCAGAGTGCATCCGCAGCGGGTGGTGAAACATTATTAGCTGGTAATGGCAACAGGGGTACGGGGCTGAGTGTCAGAATCCCCCAGAGAGCCGTTTCAGAGCATCCCAGGATCCTGGCATGCCCTCCCAGGGGAATCTGGAGGGTGGCCGTGGCAGAATGTGTCGTTTCAAACCACTTTCTAGGGGCTTCTATCTTACACACTGTATATATGACAGATTTGGAATTTGAGATGGTTTCTTATTGAATTTTCTCCTGCAAATCTCTGATCACTGTCTATTGTCCCCTCCTTCTTACGAAACCCCGATAAAAGGCTGTAAGGTGTGCAGTTTACAAAGCAAAGAGAAATCTGATCTGGCTCTAATGACGCAACACTGTTTGGAAATAAAGTTATAACCTGTGAAGTTGTCCACAGGTGTGAGACGGGAAACTTTCATTTCACTAAGGTAAGGCAAAAGTTCTGGATCAGACTGGGCCATGTCAAGGTCAGCTGTGTGTCAGCTGGAGGTGTGGGTCTAGGTCCTGAGCAAGCTGAGTTTGTTTGCAGTGCTTTGCCTCCTTTCTTTGCTGTTCCCTCCGTCACCCCCCAATCCCAGACGCGCTCTTCAGGGAGCCTGTTCCTGGCTTGTTCAATGAGCTCCTGAATTTGGCAGTTCACGTCCCCTTTGCAAGTGCTCCATTCGAACATCATTGTCCTGCCCCTTGGGAAGAAAGCAACAGGATTAAATTGTTTCACATCGAACAAAGCGAGAATAACTGAAACGAGCTCTTCAAGGAGTTTGTTAAAAACCGGTGACTGACTTTGGCGGCGGGCGTCGCAGCTTATGAAAGTTGATCGAGAATGCTGTTCACTCAACCAAATGGGGCACTGGCTATGTATTTGGGTTCTGTGTTGCCCAGAATATAACTTCACAGTCATAGGTTTAATGAGCTTTAAGGGATTTATCTCTGAAATATGGCTGTTCATATATGATCAAGCCAGTTTTGGGATATGATGTTTTGAAATTCAAATGATTTCCCCCCCCTACTATTGCTTATACCAGTAAGCATTTTGCCTTTTTAATTTTATACAATAAAGATACTGTATATTTCATATAACGAAGAATTAAATAGATGACACATATTTAAGTTTAGCACATTTCATCAAGAACATAGATCAAGCAAAAGATTAGTGAAGCGAAGAGATAATGCCCTGTGTTAGCGGGCAGTTAACAGCGCTCTTTGGAGTGGATTAACTTTACAAACAGAGGATTCCTTCTTTGCCCTTTGTACTGAGTAGGACAGTTACTCTTTTCTTGTTGTTCCCATTGTTTAGCATGCAAGCGTGGTTTCACCTGGAAGTTTTGAGAGCTACTTTTCTACTGGGTGATGTTCATGATGGCAGTATTTAGATTAATTTGCAATTAAGACTGCCTTAGAGAGTAGTAATACTTAACTAAATTCGGTGTGTATTTATTGAAGGCTTGTGTGTATAGCCTCATGCTGTTAGCTGCAGGAGAACAAAAACGGACTGGGTTATATCTTTCCTCTGTGAGCTTGTAGAGGCGAGTCTTAAACACATGGCATTTAAACCCAAGTAACAGTGTACAAACTTGTGCCTAAGTGTCTGATGACTACTTTCAATGTCCTTTGCTGTACCAGGTGCAAGGAGTGAACGGGACCCGGTCAGTCATTTAGAAGGGAATACACTCAGCTATTTCATATGTGTGTTTCTTTATTCTTTTTATAAAGTATTATTTATAGAATGAGAAGTTATGATTTCCAACCAGAACCTTTCCCTTTGAAATTTAAATACTTTCCTTCTTTCAGAAGCAATAGGAAGCATATTCCTCAGAGAGATGATCTTTAGAACTTTTACAGACTTTTTCTGATACTCTCATCTTATTCTTCAGGAAGGTAAAAATTCACACCTTTTGCCTCTTGTTTTAGATCTTGATGTATATGATGAGCTCAGTGTCTATTTCAATTCTCCAATAGAAATTTTAGATAGATATTTCCATTGATCATAAATCTAATTTTCAATCTGGATTTCGAAAATCATTTGAATCATACCTGATCTTTCTTGTGTAGCCTATTCCTTATACATAATTGCTGGTGACTTTTAGAATTGGTTGGATTGTTTCTTAATGGATAGGTTAATGTGTTTCATAGTGTCCTGGAAAACTATAATGAGATTAATAATAGAAAACATAAAATCCAACTTTGAGATACGGAGGGAAGGAGTGTTATGAACCACGCTAATCTGGGACGTGGAATTATGCCTTCATTCTCAGAAATTTCTCAAAACCAAGAGGTCGAATTACTTAATATTGTCTTAGATAAATCAAAGATAGAAAGAGTGACACTTTTTCATTCTCTAGGTTAATTCAGAACATTTACTGAGTCCCTATTATATGTTAGGAACAATGCAAAAGTGATAACTTTATAAAATGATTAGAGCCGATCAAGTTGGAAACTGCCGGTAGGGGGGAAGTGGACAGCCCATTAGGGATGTTTCTAAGGCTATCTATCCTCAAGCCGGTGCTTGGCTGATCTTTCTAAGGCCACGGGAACTTTTTTAAGGAAGTCACACCCCTTTCTCTGTTTCTGGCAGCCTTATGCCTTTCAGATTGGTGCTCTTGAAACATAGTGTATCTGAACTGGGATGTTTTTCTAATTCTCAGCAAGAAGGCGTTGGCAGGGTTAGTGGTGAAGTGCAGTGTGCTGTCCTTTTCAGAGTGTTTCCTCAAACTGCACAGAGTTTTACAGAGCTGGGCTCAGAGGAGAGTCGCCCAGGCGTCAGTGTTGCTCTAAACCCAACCTGCTAGTTGTTGAAAATGGTTTCATTGGCGCCTTCTTCCTCACTCGGGGCTCTGCGTTGTAAACGGGTCCACAAGGCTTTTTATTCAGGAGAGTGCTCAGAGCACAGTTCCGAGATCCCAAGTTCTGTCCTTGTGGAGCTTTTTCTATCTAAGAGTCTCGCTCAGTGCTTCTTAAACCTAATATGCACATCAGGTTTATGCCTATTAACTGGGGATCTTTTAAAGTGTGGATTTGTGATTCAGTAGGTGTTTTGTGGGCAGTTACCTTGATGCGATGGTTAGCCTCCAAGGATGCTACCAGCTATCCGAGGTTATGGCAGACAGGCTCAGCAGCCAAATTAAAATGCTGGAGTCACACGATTTATCAATTTAGTTTAAAACCCACAAGAGAAAGCCATAGAGTAAGTTCGTATACCTACAGTGCTAATGAGTTTGGAAGGACCCACTGCCTGAGTCCTGGGTACACGGTACTCACATGTCCCTTTCCTTTTTCACCTCAGCCTTCCCCATGACAGTGTGGTTATGAGGACTAACGTTGTTATGTGAGTAAGACTCTGCCGACTAATGATGCCCCGCGCTATTGAAACAGGCTTGCTCTAAAGCCGAGAGTGAGGACAGGTGCACTTAGACGCATAGATAGCGTTGCCGGTTTGCCTGCTGCTGAGCCATGGGCTTTATTTGCATTTCTTGGGTAGAACACCTTTGAGTCCAGGATAGGACTATGCCGAGTGACCTCATGGGTGGCTGAAATAGAGAACACATAGCTGTCAGTCCAGATATGGCATGATGATAACTTGATCTTTTCACTCCTTTCTATTTGCAAGTAAACATCTGTTTTTTTTCCATCATGTTTTCTATTTTGGCATGTCTTACAGGTTATTAACTCACTTATTTTTTAACACATATTATGAATTTTGCTCTCTTGTTACAATCTTTATTTAAAAAAAATATTTTTATTGATTTCAGAGAGGAAGGGGGAGAGAGAGATAGAAACATCAGTGATGAGAATCACCGATCGGCTGCCTCCTGCATGCTCCTCAATGAGGACCAAACCTGGGCATGTGCCCTTGACCGGAATCGAACCTGCGATCCTTCAGTCCCCAGGCCGATGCTCTATCCACTGAGCCAAACCAGCCAGAGCTCCTCTTATAAGCTTTTATTACCATACTTAATCGAGTCTCTGAGTGTTGCCTCTTTCAATACTCAAACATTATCACTTCTTAAGAGTTTCTCTACCTTTATAACAGAATTTAATATTCTCAAATAAATCAGAAAACTCGAGGTCGAGGTCCGGGGTGAGATTTTGCATTTCTAACAAGTGCTTAAATTAGTGCCGGGCTTCTTTCTGGTCAAGATTCCTCTTTGGGATC